GGAAAGGTAAACGACCCCTGGACGGTTAAGGCCAGTCAAACTTGACTACGGGGTGCAGCGCTCATTTCGCTTCAGGCCAAGGGAGCTGGTGTTTGTCCACAGACAGCTTTCTGGCTCATGAGGCCAGCAGGACTCAGAGGCATAGCAAGGGGGAGGGCAGGGGGCACTGCTGCGTGCCTGAGCCACACTTCTCTCCTGGGAGTGACACAGTGGCTCAGGTGCCTGCAAGCTCTGCACTGCTTGAAATGGCAGCATGGGACTTGCATCTGCCCGCCACCTCCCCATCAGCTGTAGAGAGGCTGAAGGGGAGGCAGTGGGCCACGGGCAGACTGTATGCAAGCTTTTTTGAGCAGCACAGGGCTGGCATTCGTCCACCGCCTCCCCCTCAGCTGTAGACTGGCAGGGCTCTGTGGCGTGGAAGAGGTAGTGAGGGCAGAGCCTGGTCTAGGGGAAGGAGGTAGCATTTTATGGGGTGTTGTGCCTCCTGCAAGGCAGGACCCAGAGCTGGAGAATGGGGTGGGGTCTGAGCAATTGGAGATGGGAAAGGGAGGACAGGATGCGCTAGGAGCGGAGGGAGAGACAGTGCCTGAAGGGAGGGGGTGGCAGAATTCCCTCCATCCCCTTCCCCACTACTCCACAGGGCTAGGAAGCTTGCAGCATAAGCCTGGAGAGGGGCACCAGAATCTCATGTGTGTGTGTTTAGTGCATCTCCAAAGCTGCTGTAATTTTGTGCTTTGTCAATAAGGAATTAAACTGCCAGCCCTTTGTCCTCCTTGGGCTGGGTGTGATCAGGACAGTAACATCTACTTCATGCTGAAAGTTCAACACATGGTGTGGGAGGACATGTGAGAATAAGGCTCACTTCTGCACCTACCATGTGTGAATTCTATACTCTGATGTATCTGTGAAAAGTGTCAGTTTTCTCCCAACACCATTTTCCATCTGTTATTCTAAGTTAAAGGACAAATGATTAAATAAACCCCTCACCACCACCACCTAATTTTTAAAAAGTGAATGATAGAACCCATGGGGATTTATTCAAGAGGATGCGCACACAGTACCCACAAATGCTTAAGTTTTTTCTGAGACACTCCCTGACAAGAGTTGCCCTCAAATAGCCAACTCCTCCAGTTCTTTTTCTAACAATTTTTTTGTAGCTATGGTATGAAAGTCCTTTTCTGTTTTATTTAGCACATTTATATCTTATTTCTTGTTCCATCAGAAAACTCAGTCTCACAATTTTCTATTCAAGAGCATTGAGGTCAAGTTTCCAGGGGAGCATAAGAACCCATTCATGGTCACGAGGCATGATCTCTTCTTCCACACTTACAGGAAAGCATTATGGAATTTTCAGAAAAAGAGGCCAAGTCAAAATTATTTATTTATTTATTTATTTACGGCTATTAGCCCATAAACAAGTCAAAATTTGTGATTAGGCTCTTGCTAATGATAAACTTCTGACCAGAAGCTTACCATTATGTTACATGCTTCCAACTTCATGATTGTTACATTTTGTTTATTTAAGTGGTGTTGTTTTCAACTGTTATTTTATGAAATATTTATTAATTATCCAGTTTCTGATTATGGATGGCAGTAAGCTAAGTCACACTGAAAGCAGACACATTGAAATTAATGGAAAGTTTTAAATGCCATTTATTTCAGTGTGTCTATGCTGACTATGATTAATGTTGGGTATCATACTTTTTAAGGGAAAGTTAGAAATAAAAGCTAGAAATAAGTAAGTAAAATGTTATCTAAAATATGAGAATGTAGTACATTGGGCAACTACCGTACCTTAATTAATTAGAAATGTCTGGCTATACCTAAAATAGCTAAACTGCTTTGGGGATCTCCTTCCTGTATTGGTGAATAGAATAGGATAGCAATCTAAGAAGTAGGCTGTCCCTAAAGTAGCCCTCAGCACACAGAATCACTTAAAGACTTGTATGGATTTTTAATCATATACCAGTCACCCAATTTTAGCCAGGTTCATGTTTTTTTGGTGGGGCGTGGGAGAGAGAGAACTTATTATGATGCTTGGAGGTTCTCACAGTTTTCTCATAACTGAATAGCATAATGCTGATGCTACTATCTGCTTAACCTAACAGTTTCCTGTCTGTCCACCCATGGAATGCTCTTTACCCCAGCAGAGGTTCCCATGAATGGAAAGGGAGGGGGAGAAAGGGGATTTTAGCATATTCCCCCTTTTTCTTGCAGCCTCATGCTGTTTCCATATGTTTTTTTTGGGTGGAGGGGTTCAGAGAGCACCTGAAGAGACAGGGAATTAAAATACATCCCCACTTCCATTCAGTATCCTGGAATGAAGAGCCTTCCATGAGCAGTAGGATGCAGTTGGATACAATCTTTTGTGTATATTGTTTATGGGGTTGCATATATACTTTCTGCAAATTCTGTTATCTTCCAAACACAAAATCCTTATAATGCACTAATTTGACAACCTCCTATTTGTTATTTATTTAAAAGCTATCTGAAAATGAATACTGCCAAATCTGACTCCATTGTGTAAGGAAGCAGGAACACTGATTGCAGGTTAGGAAATAGCAGCTTGTGTCTAGTTACTTTTTTCAAATGTGATTAACTTCTGAAAACACTAGGTTTATCAAGGAGTAAAAAGAGAAAACAACTGTGCCTAGTACAAGGTTACTGTGCAACTCTTCCAAATTTCTCTCAAATATTTGCATATTAAATAACTGATGTCATTTAATGACTCCAATACATTTGAGATCTGTTATGGTAATTGCATAATACATTTTTGGAGCAGCAGTTGTAGTAATGAAGAATGAAAGGTCCTAATATTAATACTGATGACTTTAGGAAACCAAAATGTTCTCAATTATTTGTTTGTTTATTTATTTTGCTTATGACAGATTTAATACAAGACACATATAGAAAAAAATTGCCATATTCTCAAAAGATAGAACTTTGGAGAGATTACAATAATGTGTCTGATTTTTGCAAAAATTATTGATGAGATGATTTCAGGTTCCTATTCAGTACTACTCACATTTGGTTCAGTACCTGACAAGGGCTTATTTAATAAAACCACAGACGGTTTTCCTTCCACCTATTGCACCGTATGTATTAACTGTTGAGTTAAAGGAATTTGTTAATTCTGTAGTAGATAAAAGAAGTATTACATGGCTTTAAAAGCCATCCATTGAAATGGCTTTTTAAAAAGGACTAGATAAATTCATGGAGAAGGCTTTCAATGGCTGCTAGCATAATGGTTGTCCTCTACCTCTACAGTTGGAGGCAGTAATGGAAACTGCAAGGAAGGGAGAGTGCGCAGGTGCTGCTTGTGAGTTTCCCACCGGGATCTGGTTGGCCACTGAGAGAACAGGATGCTAGTCTAGATGGGGCATTAGCCAGAGCTCTTTTTATATTCTTAAATATGCGAAGGGGTGTTTCAACTGGAATACAAAGGTGTAATTTGTGCTGCACTGTTTCTACAATCTCATTAATATTGAGATCACTAGAGGTGCTTCCAGGCAACAGTTTATTATTTCTTAATTTTTATCCTCTCTCTCTCTTTTAAGCTTTCAGACAATGTAATAGACAGTCCCAGAATTTGAGTGCAAATTTTACTACCATTTACTACCATTTCTGGGGATGTATTTTCAGCTTCAGGAAGTGCAACTTTTGTGTGAGTTTTCTGATGAGGTAAGCCAAGGTGTCAAACATCCCTCCGTTCTCCCATCTCTTAAAACATGCACTTTTTTGTATATAAAAGTGGGTCCAGAGAGAGTTTTCTGAGCGGATGAGAAAGGCTACAGCTCAAATCTTGCACATGTTCTGGCTCTCACAGACAGTTTGAACAAAAATAAGTGGAAATCGGTCAGGCAGTGTAGAAGGATAATTAAAAACCCGATAGCAATAAAAGCAGCAAAATCTGAGCACTAAGCCTCTCATCTAGAAGCACCCTAGAAGAAAAGTAAAAATGAGAACCTGTGAACATAAAGGCAGGTACCGTAAGACTGCAAGTACGGCTGTGGGAAGCAGAGTGTCTATTTCAGCTGAAACATTTCTGTGAATTCATCACATCTCATTCCATTTCATTTAGAGAATTCCTTCCTGTTTTGCTAGTTCTCCTGGGGGGCGGGGGAGAGCGACTGCCTGAAGAGTGCTTCCCTGAGGGGATTAGCTAATAAGCAAAGGAGCCATATGAGAGTTAGCACCTTGCTTTGTCTGACAACATAGGATGAGTTTGCTTTCTTTGATCTACATTCACTACAACTGCTTCAGTCTGCAAACTACACTAGAGCAAAAGTGCTGAAAACGTCTGTATCAGCAAGACTATCCAGACACGTTTTTTTATTATAATTTGTTCCTAAATTTGCTTCAGGTGTTTTACTGCTTTTAGGGTTTCTTAACAGTTTTAAAATATTTTAAAATATTTTTATTTTTGAATGTATTTTTATTATTGAAGTATTTGCCACCCTTGGCTTCCTTAGGAAGAAAGTTAGGATATCAATTTATGTAAGCCGCTCAGAGTGGCTGGGGAAACCCAGTCAGATGAGTGGGTATAAATAATAAAATTGTTGTTGTTGCTAATTAATTAATTAAGTGTCGGCTAAGTTTGTCCACACCTGGAGGCAAAAAAGCACAAGTGACTTCTGGTAGATGTTATAGTAATTTTAATTAATGGTTATCGAAAACTGTCAGCATATATAGCACAGTTATTTATAATGGAGATTTGGAGTAATCATTTTGCCTTCCTCTTCTAAAGTTTTATATCTATGAGTCAAAGCATATTGATCAGTATTAGTATGTTGCCTTTTCAATATATGATTTATTTTTTATTCTAGAAGTGCTGACCTTAAAATATTTATATTCTTTATAGCTTTCACTATGCTTATGTTATATTGAGCTGCTGATGAAGACCTTTGTGTCAAAACTTGTTCACCTAATGTTGAAATATATAATACAGTGGAACCTTGACTTACATCCACCTCTTCTCGCGGACGTTCTAAGTTGCGACCATGGCAAACCTGGAAGTAAACACCGAGTTTGCCACGATTTGCGCATGCATGGAAGCGGCTTCTGCCATCTGCCCATGCGCACAAGCGGCGGTCGACTCTACGCATGTGCAGAAGCATGCTGCTGCTGAATGCACACACGCACAACGGCACCTCCACTAGCGTCTGGTTTCGCCCAGTGGACGGGCCTCCAGAATGGATTATGATCGCAAGTAGAGGTTGTACTGTACAGGATTTGGCTTACTAAGAATTTATTACTGTGGTGTTTGCATATATAATAATTATACCGGATTTTAAATATATATTTTTCTTTAACAATTTTTTAATGTGCACATGTGTTAAGGATCATTTGAACAGTAAGAATGGCAATTACTGGTTAAGAAATTAAGAGGTGGGAATCTCTTCATTCCATTTCCATGTGGGCATGCAATATGCCTGGTTTTGGCTGAAGTAATCAACAGGAGACATGTAACAACAAAGTAATAATTTTATTCTATAACCTTTATCTTAAAAAATATTACTCTGTCTGATATTTAGAAATGAAACAAAACAGTAAGTAGCATGCTGTTTCCCCCCCTCCTGCTTGATATGATTTGAGAATGCATTATCTCGGCCTGCAAGGATTGTCTTGACATTTACTTTTGTATTCGATTCAGAACTGAAGTTCTGAAGTGTTATTTCTTGTTGAAATAACATTCTCAACTAACCTAAGTCAGAATGTTCTATCTGAGGATTAATTAATACTTGTGGCTGCACTGGTTACTTTTGGGGAAATAATCATAGCCCCAGAGCTTGGGCAGGCCATTGGAGACTGACATTTTTAGCTTGGTAAGTTAAAACAGTGTGCTGGCCAGGTGACTCCATTTCTCAAAAATGCTGACTTTTATTGTATGGAGTAGAGGTGCAAGTGCCCTGCCATATCTGCCACAAAATGCAGTAATTCCAGCACCACTGGTCTTGCATGTTCAAGTCGAAACAGAATGTTGAAATATGACCTACTTACGTTGGGATCCAGTGCTCCCGTGCCAAATTGCACAATCAATCCTCTTTCCTTTGGGCTGCTCTCAGCTGCAGGAACACTGTCTGTGGTCCTGAATCTATTGCTGCTGAATTCCGGCCCAGCACCCTTGTCCCTGTTCAGGGTCCTTACTGCACTGAAGCACAAAAGCAACTGAGGCACTCCTGGACCTGCCTCCCAGCGTCTCACTCAGACTGCTGCTTTTTCTTAGTGATTGAGGTAACTGGATCAGGACAGTAAGCTACTTTACTAATCTTCTGCTTCCTGACATATATGCTCAGATGCAAATGTGTGGGAAGATTCCCCTTTCCACTGGGGAAGACAGTATGGAATTTCCATTGGCCACATACATAACATGGTTAGCTTCCACCTGACACACAGTAACCTGTGTTTACCATGGATGTGTTAAGGCATGATACATTGGTGTGTTTGCTTCTTTTCAATATTTCAAACCCAGCCTTCACCAGTTGGTCCCAAAGCAGGAGCACAACAATAAAACAACAGAAAATAACCAGATATATGTAACTAAAATATTAGAAAATAAATCCATGTTGATAAAACTCAACATTGAGATTTTCAGAATATTCCATCCATAGCTGTGCTGAACGACTTAAGATACTGCTCACAACCCTTTAACGATACCCTAGAGAAAGCTGAGAAACAGCTCTCTCACTGAGGTTTATTCATGGTTTAACAAATAAAGAACAATTGTTTGAGATTTCTAAAGCCAACAGGAGAAATGGATGCCTAATTCATTTAAGATTAAGAGCAGCCAGATTTTCAAGATTTCATTGAGGTAGATGAATATCTCTATTTCAGTGCCCAATAATCACTTTGTTAATATTCTTTCACGGCTGTCAAATATCAAATTCAGTTGCCTGCCACTTTGCACTGCAGTCTCTCTGGAAGGCTGACATGCCTTTTCAAATGGGATGATTGCATTCTGCTTTGTAATGAACCTTCCTTCACACAGTGCCTTGGAATGAATATGGAGGTATCGTCATTGCCTCAATAGAAATGGATTGCATGGTTTCTTCAATCAAAATGGGAGGTTATTCCAAAATATCTGATACGAACTATTCACCAGGTGCTGGTAATTAGACTATTAGTGAATTTTACACAATAGAATGATTTCTGGCTTCAATACCCCGAAACGACTTTCAGACACAATGTGAAGTTTTCTATTGTGGCATATCTAATGATCTGGTGCAATAAATGTGCCCGTGTTAAATTCATTCCTTCAGTGAAGTCTAATTCTGAACATTTTTCATGCATCCTACTTGTTGCTATGAAGATATTAATCGCGTTTGGGAATCCAGTTTTCTTGCCAAGGAAGTAAGTAATAAAATCTGATGGTTTCACTTGCATCTATTATGGAGTAGTAGCTCAATACATTTATTCACATTATTAACTGGCAGAGAGCTGTCTTCATGATGAGCTAACTGAAACCTCATAAGACAATCAATTTTCCTAGGGTAAAAGTCTGCTTCAAGTTATAAGAATAACCCTTTGACTCACCAAGTTACTGCCAGGTTGGGAAACAGGTTCTTGAGAACAAATAAGGCTGGCTGGAGTGAGGCAAGAGCAAGGCAGGGGGAAAGCAAGGCAGATCAAGGATAATGGATGCAGCTACTTTCAGTTCATTGCTGTGAACATGAACCATTTTGCATGAACATGTTGGTGTCTTGCAGCCACTTGAGCCCGCTCTTGAATCAAATGGCATTTAAAGATGACCTGGCCTGAATTTACCAAAATCAGAATCTAAGCAATCTTGAAACACAGTCCATTGTTTGTAGAGTAATCAGAAGATACAGCACAGTTTGAAATTATGGCAAGGCTTTGAATTCTGCTTTGTAGAAGTAAGAGGCAAAGCCTATTTGAACAAGGCTGAAGGCCCCAAAAGACACAAGGGATAGGAAGAGGGTGGAAAAAAACCAACCACATCAAGCAACAAGAGCTGCAACAGAAACTGGATCCGTTTTCTGGGAGGGGATGGGCGATGGGGTTATTATTTTGTTTTTGTTTTTATTATGTATTTTGTGTTTTTGCTTGTCTTTTTATGGTGCGAACTGCCCTGAGATCTATTTGTATGGTCTTGTGCTTTATTTTTAATATTCCTAATGTACACAAACCAGAGATCTTTGTTTATGGGACAGCATGGGAATATCACAAGGGAAACAGTATAACAGAGGTTGTGACAAGGCCACCCATGCATTTGGCAGGACGAAGTTCACCTTAGGTGACAGACTGTGAAGTCCTGGGAAATGGAAAACAATTGTCAATTTATTCATTTATTAATTTATTAATTTTACCACTTTGAGTTTTCCATCTCTGACATCAGACAGCCTTGGGGCTTCATTGGAATGAAATATTAGTGAGGCAGGTTGTTGACAAATTGTTGCTCAGACATAGAGATAACATGACACTGATATTTTTATAGTGGTGGAGCTCAAGCCTTATAGTGTCATTTGCTACAAGTTCCTGTTAGCAATTTCACTCCTCCGATGCTGCAGATGAGATTGCTGTAAATCACATGCCTGTCTGAGAAGAGTGTGGGAAACGGAAGACAGTCTTATTTCTTTTGCTGTAATGTACTTTCACTTTTGCTTGTGCCTGTTTGTTCTCTCAGAGCTGGAGAGAACGGACACCATTATGCTTTTGTCTGTACATAGTGCGTAAATAAATAGTAGATTAGATCTACGATGTCTCACTCTTCTTGCTGTGTTAAGCCAGAAGATTAGTGTGCATATATCATTATGATATATGTCACTAGGAAGCGCACTGGAAGAGAAGGGAGATACCTTTTCCAGAGCTGCGCATACCGGAGGACGCTTGGAGTCTGGGGGCTTGCAGGCACCCCCAGGGCGTTTTTCCAACAGTTCCTGCATTGGCCAGAGCTTCATAGTGCTGAATTCCCACATAACATCCTACAAACAGATTTCACAAACAGATCCTACAAATATCTACAAACAGATTTTTTTATACACACACTGTCCAATATGAGTGTCTGCTCCAACTGTTTATGGCTTTTCCAAATAAAATGCAAGAGACTTGTGATTTCTGTGTTTCAATTTTTAATGCAACTTTATTTTGTCAAATGTCCTTGAATTAGTATTTAAATGAATCAGCTATGCACATTTGCATTTATCTAAAAAACATATAACATATTCAGAAGTTCAGTTAAATTTATGCTCTCCGCAGAGAGTGATGTTATTTTCAAAGATTTTTAACAGCATGTGATTATGGAAGATTTGCAATGAATTGGAATAACATATCATTATGGCATGAATAAAGGGGGTTGTATCATTTTGAATATGGTGGAACAACTGCACATAAGAGAAGGGAATCTAGGCTGCAGAAAGAATTATGTCTAAAATTATACAAAGGACATTTAAGAAATAACTTTTCCTCCCCCCTCCTTAAATTTCTAATTGTGAGCCATAACAATGGAAATCAGATTTGGTTTTTTAATTGCAGTGGATGTGTGTGGATTGCTGGCATTTGTGCCCACTCTATTCCTGTGTCATATGAGCCTCATCAGCACTTGCACATTGGCACAATTATTGATAGCTCAGTTTTTAGGTCATTTTGTGTGCTGAGTTTTGCCATCTTCTTTATGATACGACCCTAAATGTGTACACAGCTTGCAAAATCACTCGTAAATATTATGTTTATCCACTGTTTGCATAATTTCATTATACAGTCATCTATCTGACTGCCCCCGGCCACAGGATGTTCAGTGTGCAAGGCCTATTAGAGGACACTAAGGCATTAAGAACAGGGACTTGTGGCCTTCATAACCCAGCCATTATAATACTACTTTTAAAATGTATTGTTTTGCTACTTCATTGTTTGCCACCCTGAGCTCCTTTGTAGCCCAACTGACATTTTGAAGAAAGAGATGATTTTTTAAACAGAGATTGATAACCCCCCACCACCACATTTGTTACATTTCTTTTCTCCTACCATGTTTGCCCATTGCAACCCTGTCAAAAATCAGTGAAAAATATTTAGCTGTTTTGGCTCTGTGTTAAAAAGAGGAAGACTAATCTATAATCAGATTTGTTTGGATGTCAAACACCTCTGTGCGCTTAGCACCCCAATGGCTGTGCTCGTTTCTCTCTGGTCGGGGACAGAGGGTGGC